AAATGGAAACCAGAAAAGAGAAGGAGTAGTCGTACTCATGTCATATAAAATAGATTTCAAGGGAAGGAAATTTTTTAAAGATAAGGAAGGTCATTATATAATGATAAAGGGATCAATTCAACAAGAGGATATAACTGTTCTGTATATTATACACACCCAACTTCAGATCACTCAGTTATATGAAGCAATTACTATTGGACCTAATAGATTCCAACATGATAATAGCAAGGGCCTATAATACCCCACTTTTAGCAAAGGACAGATCTTCCAGACAGAAAACTAACCAGGAAACATCAGAATTAATCTCTACTCCAGATAAATGGCTAACAGACATTTACAGAACATTCTGTCCAAGAGCTGCAGAATACACCTTCTTCTCAGTGGCACATGAAACATTCTCAAGAATAAACCATGTGTAACACACAAAACGAGTCTCAACAAATTTTTAAAAAATCAAAATCATATCAACTACCTTGACTGACCACAATAGAATAAAACTAGAAATCAACAACAAAAGGGACACTAGAAACCATACAAATATATGGAAATTAAATAATATGCTCCTAAACAATGAAGGAGTCAAAGAAGAAATCAAGAAGGAAATTAAAATATTCCTGGAGACAAATGAAAATCAAAATACAGCATACCAGAACCTATGGGATTCAGAGAAAGCAGTTCTGAGTAAAGTTCATAGCAATAAATGCCTATATCAAAAAAGAAAAGCAACCTATAATTTCTCCTCAAGGAGCTGGAAAAATAAGAACAAACCAAACTCCAAATCAGTAGAAGGAAAAACATAACAAAGATCATAGCAGAAATAAATTAGAGATTTATTTATAAAAGATCAGTATAAAAGATCAATGTAACAAGAGTTGGTTTTCCCAAAAGATAAACAAAATGGATAAACCTTTAGGTAGAGTAATGAAGAAAAAGAGAGAGATGACTCAAATAAATAAAATCAGAAATGAAAAAGGAGACATCACAGCTGATACCACAGAAATACAGAGGATCATAAGAGCCAACAACAATTATATGCAAAAAACCCCAGAAAATCTAGAAGAAATGGATAAATTCATGGGTTTTGTGGCATACAAGATCTCTGCTGAAATGACTCAGCTCTGCTGTTGATACATGAAAGCAGCTATAGAATATATGTAAACAAACATCCTGGCTGGACTCAAATAGAACCTTATTTACCAAAAAAGGCTGCGGGATGGATTTGGCCCTGTGGTTTGCGGACCCTTAACCTGAAGGATGCATGGTGGTGGTCTCTATCCTGTCCCACTGAACTCACTGGGACCAGCCAGACTCAGGAGAATGATTGTAGAGGACCATGGGTGTGACCAGGTAGTAGCCAGCCTGACCACATCTCCTCTGCGTGTCCATCCATGTGGCGACTGTGTCCTTTCCCATTCCAATTAAGAGAAAAGATGGAAAATGCATTCCTGTGGGACATATAGCAATATTAATTAACAGTTTTGCTTCAGGGCTACGGGTTCTCCTGTGCTCTCTAATATTGTAGGCCAGTGCTGTCAATAGAAATACAATGTGAGGCACAGATCTTCTTAACTTCTCCAGTAGCCAGATTTTTAAAAAGCAAAAAGGAAACAAGCTAAATTAATTTTCATAGTATATTTTATTTAGCTCAATGTGTATTTAAGACCTCATTTCAGCATATAGTCATTATAAGAAATATCAATGAGATAATTCACATTTTGTTCACTTTAAGTGTTGGATGCCCAGTGTGTCTTTTACACTTACAGTACCTCTCAATCTGGACCAGCCATGTTTCAAGTGCCCAGTAGCTCCACGTGGCTAGTGGCCACCATTTTGGGTACTCTGAAGAGACCTGGACCACAGGTGACATCCCATGGAACACCACACTGATCCACTGCATTGATGGTGTTGTGCTGATCAGGCGGGACAAGCGAATGGTGGCCAGTATGATGGAGGCCTCAGCACGATACAGCAAGCCAAGGAGGGGAGGACAGACTTGTTTTGGCCTCAGTTTCTCCATCTGTAAAATGATAATAATAATGATAATACCTCACCATGGGTTGTGGTGAACATTGAATGAATTATTATATATACTGTCTGGTATATTTCCAATGTTTATGAGTTCTTTTCACTAAGAAACACGTAAAACAAGAAGTTGAGAAAAGGAGAAAAAATATATAAAAAAATAATTTTAAAGGGATAGGAAAAGAAAACTGAGACTCAAGCCTTTTAAAGTAACCAGAAGCCTCCTTTGGCCCTCACGATTAAGGTAAGTAAAGAATAAAAAGGCAAGATTTGTAGATGTTTTCAAGCTCTTCAGCAATATTTGAGCTTCATATTTACACAGCTGTACTTACTAGTTCATGATGTTTGTGCTAAGCTGTTCCCACCTGCGTGAAAGTACATTTCATACTGTTCAGTAATCCCTATATCCCTGCGGACAACCTTCGCAGCTCGACAAACCTGTCTAGGGGAAATGGCCCAAGCAGGTCTTGTCTGTGTATCTCCAAACAAGGATTACCCAAAATTGAAAATACCGAAGGCACCATAGAGCCTGCAAAAGCTCTTTAATCAATTAGGGTGTGGGAGAGGGAGCGCAAAGTTGGTCTGGCTTTTATATAGGGCAACAATGCAGCAGTGTTTTTTATTAACTGCTCAAGTAAAGGCAAGGCTCAATATATTCAAGATCTAAAATGAAAAGAAATTTAGCTGTGTAGGTGATAATAGAGCAAAGTCAGCCGGATAATGAGCTGTGATGATTTTCTGAGTTCTTGGCAAAGGTTTGGAGGACTAGCACTCAAGGGGAATGAGCTTCTACTTAGTGTTCAGAGGAACCAATTAAGAACAGCCCCCTGACTTCTGCAGGTGCATGCCAGGATCCTGGGACTAACCAAGAGGCTATGTGGAGGAGACTTTGGGGCACCATCTGCTCTGTGGACAGGAGGTTCATCTCGAGTTTTCTGAAGAGCTAAACAATCCTGCATAAGTAGTTCTAGGTTCAACCCAGCAATACACAAAGCCAGCCTAGGCTGAATAAGAAAGGTTTTAATTCCACCTTTACACTCTGGTCTATGTAGTGTCTTCTGGGAAATTTCATTGACATCCCTAGTGCTACAGATTGAAAGCTTGTGTCTCTCCAAAATTCATATGTTGAAACCTTAACTCCCAAGGTGGTGTCATTAGGAGGTGGGGACATTGGGAGGTAATTAGGTTTATATGAGGTAATAAGAGTGGGATCCCCCATGATGCGATTAGTGTCCTGATAGGAAGAAGAAGAGAAGAGATCAGAGCTCTGTCTCCTCCAGATGAGGACACAGAGAAAGCCACTGTCAGCAAATCAGGAAGCAGGAATTCACCAAGAACCCAAACTTGTCAGCACCTTGATCTTGGACTTCCAGCCTCCAGAACTGTGAGAAGTAACTGTCATTGCTTTGGTCTATGATATTCTGTTGCAGCAGCCGAGCTGACTGAAACACTCGGAGCAGCACTATGGAGAGGAGAGGGATCATCTTTCCCCACTTTGTGCTGCAGTTTCACGTTACTCTAACCAGTTGCGTTGGAAAGGCGATCTGGTACCATGGAAAGCACCTACTGTGTGCAACTCTGTGTGTGTGTGTGTGTGTGTGTGTGTATAAAGCTCTGAGGATTATAAAAATAAGCAGTTCTTCACTGAAAAGCCTGAAATTTAAAGAGAAAAAAAGACCAAGAGCTGTGGTATGAAGTAGGCTCAGGTAAGTCCTAAAAATAAAGAATAAGCAAATAACTATAGAGTATAAAGAAGGGAAGATGCCGAGAAGGTGGCCTTTGAAGAACAAGTGGGTTTTTTTTTTTTTTTCCTTTTTTTGTCTCTTTTTTCGTGACCGGCAACGGATCGCAACTCTCAGTGTTGCGCCCGTACCGGACCGGGACTGGCAACGGGATCGCAACCCTCGGTGTTGCGCCCGCACCTCGCTCAGCCAGTGAGCGGCCGGTCTGTATGTGGGATCCGAACCCTCGGCAGGAGCGCTACCGCGCTTCCCAAGCGGCGCACTATAGCAGTGCGCCACCGGGCCGGCCCGAACGAGTGGGTTTTTGATAGATGAGAAAGGAGGGGGAGGATGAACCCACACAAAGGGACCTGCAGGGAAGAGAGCACGTGAGGATAAGAGGTCACCTCGGAGACGGCGGACAGAGGGAAGTGTGTGCTCAGACCTGAGCGGAAGCTGCGGCCAAGCTCCTGAAATTCTCAACGAAATATTAAGAAACTCAATTTATTACACTGATGATAGCTATTCAAGGTTTTATTTGATGTTCAAATCTTACAAAAAGAACAATGAGAACTGGGAGTTGAATGGAGTCACAGAAACAACCTCAGCTCTACTTCAGTTCTGTCACACTTACCCCACAGTGATGAAATAATAGGAAATCCTACAGTGATGAAACAATAGGAAGTTTCACTGTGGTAGAACAAGAGGGGAACCCTTTAATGGTAGAACAATAGGGGAACTCTACAGTGATGGAACAAGAAGGAAACTCTGTAGTGATGGAAATTCTATAGTGACAGAACAATAGAGAAACCTACAGTGATGGAACAATCGGGGAACCCTATAGTGACAGAATAGCAGAGGAAATGAAGTAAGAACTATGACTGGTCTCTACAAATTTTCTCTAAAACTATTCTAAAAATCAAAAGTTTATTTATAAAAAACAATACTATGTATTGATAAAGATTCAAATGTAAATGAACTCCCATTTTGTTCATTTTTGTAAATGAACTCATACTTTTGGGAGATATTATTTTGAAGGGAAATGTAAAGTGAGAAAATATAATCTTATGTGATTGTTATTATCTTGCAATTATATACAAATTCATTTACCTACCATAGGTGTTGCTCTACCTATAAATATTTCTTATAAAGATCTCTTTCTAAAGTTTAAGAAAAGATTGGATACATATCCTCTTCCACTTCTGAAAGTTTCCTTCATACAGTTCCCTGTGCAGCACCAATACAGCAGTCAGACATCTCAGGATTGTGGCAATGATGAATAATGATTTAACAACCCAGACATCCAGTCATCTGCAGATAGGAAGCAGAAGTATAATGCTGGGGCCAAGCTTCCTAGAGATTTCTGAATATTTTATTATAAACATTCAAGCTCACTCCTTTCTTTCTATAATTAAATATGAGAGCTGAATTACTGAGGTCTTTGAAGAAGACCAAGCCCAAGGGCAAAACCACAGGAATAGAAAAACCAAAGAGAGCTTGAGATATAAAATGAAATCATAAAGGAGGTACTTTGAACTCAGTTAATAAAAACCATTCTTAAATACTGAGAAAAACTGTATTTCTGAAATGTTAGTCTTAAACTCCAACATTGCATATAAATTTATTTACTTATGTAGGTGAGCGTGTTTGAGCAGCTATGCATACTATGCATAATAATAATATGCATAAAATAATAATATGATGTCACTTTTTTTCTACATACCAAATAAGGGCAAATTCTCTTTGTCATTACATTTAAAGGAACATTGGCCTTTCAGTAGTCCTGTGATGTCTCTTCCTTTAGATGTGTCTTATTTCCCTCTTCCACTGATGGGCTTATCAATCTGTTGTCAAGGAACTTCCAGCTTCTACCCAAGATGCCAAAATGGAAGGCACATTGCTCCCTTCCAAACCAAAAGGAAAAAAATGTGAAAAACTACAAAATTAAAACTTATTTAAGTCAGAGGGGAGTTGGGATTTCAGGGCAACCCTCTAGCTCAAAATCTATGGAAAGACAGGGCCCTGCAAGACAGACAGGACAGGAACACTGGCTAAACATTTAGGGAACCATATAAGCAGGTAAAAAGAATTCAGCTAAAATGTTAACAAATCGCCATATGCCAAGCATGGGTTGTGCTGCATGCCAGTGGTAGAGAAAGGCTGAGAATTGATCTAGCTGAGTGTGGCATGACCCATCTACTGTTGCAAAGGTGAGGGCTAGGTAATGACCACCAACACAGCCAAAGGTGACATTCTACCAGGTATCTCAGTCCATATTTCAAATGTCTGAATCCATTTTTTTTTTTTTTTGTCTTTTGTCTTTTTCCATGTCCGGCAACGGATTGCAACCCTCAGTGTTGCCCCCGTACCGGACCGGGGACCGGCAACGAGATTGCAACCCTCGTCGGTGCTCCCATGCCTCGCTCAGCCAGTGAGCGGGAACCGGTCTGTATGTGGGATCCGAACCCTCAGGCGGGAGCACCGCCACGCTTCCCAAGCGGCGCACTATCCAGTGCGCCACCGGGCCGGCCCCTGAATCCATTTTTTTTTTAACAAAAATCTAGAAATGTCATGTGACCGAACAACACTCATGCAGGTTATGATACTTTTCTAGATGGGACCCACTACTCAAAGATCAAATGCTTCAGACATTGCCAAAAATCAGGATAGTTATGATAACTACTGGGAAGGAATGTATTAACAGTATGTCTGTCATCAAGCCACCAGAGGGAACCTGGACACCTCATCAAAGACCTTGTATCATTCTCTAGCAGAATGTACAGTCTATGAAAACGAAGGTTCTTTGCTGGGGTTGCTATGTGTGGATTACTGATCCAAGGATGCTTGTGGCAAGCTGTACCTTGTGGTCTAAATTGGATTTTGAAAATAAGCCTTTAATGTGTGAACTGCAGCTGCACTAAAGAATGGAGTCAGACAGGCAGCCCAGCTACAGCTGGATGATTAGAGAAGGATAAAGCTAGGGAAGCTGGGGTTAGTGGCTGCCCTTTGCAGACTGGACCTAAACACAGTCACTCCTGGTATGGAAAGGACACAGAGGAAGTTGTGTCTGATTGGTGAAGCCCTCTAAAATACTGATGCTGTGTGCATTGCTCTCTCTTTTTTAGTTCATTTGCTAATTATGAGCCAAGCTTGATGCTGGAAAACATTTGTGCTTTATAAAAGTCTGTTTGACAACACAAGCCTCTGTGTTTATCATAAAGGGCTTTCTGAAAATTAAATAAAATAATTTAAATAAGCACAAAACATCAAACTT